TCAAATATGATGCAAGGGAGTGTCCGGTACACAGCATGGTTCAACAATGTTGTACTGTTGCGTGTGCAGTGCAGTAGCTTTAACAGCTGTAAGAGTTGACTTGTACTGTGACCAGAGAAACTGATATCTATCTGTTCCCTTTGCTATTCCCTTATCTGATTTCATTGAGACTTGTACCAGATATTTGACTTGTTCCTCTGAATACGGAGGAACCAATTGTATCAGTTTCCTCATCTGGTTCTCTTATGAAGTTTGTTAAATCATCAAAACAAAAGACATATCACTTATCAATTTTTCCTTTTTTTATGATGACAAACTTAGAATTGATATTCCCCCTAAGAATCAGATCTCTACATTGTTCCCCCTGCATAATAGCCATATTCCATTTGAGAACCTGTCTCTCCCCTTTAAATTTCTTTCCCTTTTAGCATCATAAAAAAAGAAAGACAAGTAAATGCAAAAAGAAGTCCAGCAAAGTTAACTCATGCCGCTTGTGTGCACACAACATAGCTAAAAACAGAACTCAAGAGTATAACATGCATTTAAAAGGACGAGGATGCTCATTAATTGAAGGAAAAACAAGAACATTGTAGCAGTACCAACATTACAAAAACATACACAAATAAAAAAGAACTAGAGTACCACAATCATAAAGGACGGATAATAAAAAGACAATGTAAGATTAAGCAGGGGCTGACAAAGGGACAAGTTAGGGGACACTGGATGACGAAGGTAAGGGAGAGGGAGCAAGGGCCCTGGGGAGACTATCAACACGAGCATTAGCAACCCTTTGATCGTTGATCAACTGCTCTTTTAGGTTCTCTACTTGTTTCCTTAACTCTATATTCTCAGCCTTCAAGCGAGCAACTTCTGCTCCCTGAGCAGTACTGGAACCAGGTTCCTTGCTGGCTTGATTGAGCTTGGACTCAAGAATAGCATTCTGGGCCTTCAACCGCATGATTTCCTCATTAGCAGCATTCTGAACATCGATAAACTGAGAGATTATGGAACTGCAACCTATATCCCCCTTTTTGTCCACACACTCGTATTCCTCCAAGGTGGCCATTGTGAAAATTTGTTTACGAGTTCCCACAACTGCTTTCCCTAAGGGGACCTCAAATCATTCAAAGACTTTTGTGAGCAGGAACCCATATGGAAACCCAGGATTTTCATCCTTGAAGTCTACCACTTTCTTCACGTGTTCAATTGAAATCCCAGGCAGATTGATGGGAGTGTAAGCGTCTAGTGCCTCCAAAAGAACCAGGTCCTCTATAGAGGAAATGGATCTCCTTTCAGCTCTTGGTAGCAAGACTTTGTTCACCAACTCGAATAGTAGTTGGTATTTTGGAAGCAATGCCTTTTGTGCCCTCGTTCCCCTTGTTGAATAGATTGAGGCTTGAGGATGATATTCCTACACTCTGGGGAATAGGTTTTATCCATAGTTGAGAGCCCTTCAGTAGGCACCCCAAGAATTTTCCCAAGCACAACCTCATCCATCACGAAATCTATCCCATTGATCTTCAAACATATTGTATCTCCTTCCACTATGAACAAGTCAGCATAAAAACTGCGAACCTCCTCCTCATATACTTTTGGACTCTCAATTGTAAAGAGATGAGTCCACTTTTAGAAGTCACAGATTTCTACCAACTGCCGCATTCCAGACCGATCAAGAATGTCAGTGTCAAAAACTCTACCCCACAGAACTTTTTGCTTTTTCAATTTAGCTTTCCTTTCAAGCTTAGACACATCTACTCTTGCCTTCTTTGAGGAACCAGGTTCCTCACTGCTGCTTGGCCTCTTTCTGAGAGGCTTCTTTTTCTCAACAATTTTCTTCTTCTCAACTCTTTCTTTACCAACCAACTTCAACATCCTTTGCAGATAATACCTTCTTTTGTTTCACAGACACATCCTTCTTAGATATTTTCCAGACAAGAGAAGCAGGTTCCTGATTCATCTCCTCATCCTCAACTTCCACAACAGTTGCTGGAGGCACAGCCTCCTCATCAACCAATCTACTTTTCACAAGCCTTCTCCTTTTCCTTTTCTCCTTATTCTCCTTTAATGCACTATCAAGAGCAATCTTTTTCTAATGCCTGGTGGTGGGTTGTTTAGGAACATACTCTTGTGTGACTGTGCCACCACTCCTAGCAACAATAAACTGGGCTATATATAGATAAATTATCGTAATCCTGCTCACTATCATCATCATCTCCTTCTGACACTAACTTCATTTCAGGGTACACAAACTCTAAAGAGGTTGCATCAAGGTGAGGGGAAGGGGAAGGGGTAGGGTCAGTACTGCCTAGTGGTTGTCTAGTAGAGCTTGGAGTTTCATCACAAGTAGGAACTGAGAACTCCTCTTGGGCAGAGGGACCTGGTCCCTTTGTAAGCTCCCCTGTAGTACTGACCGGTGCCTTGTCACCGTGAGGCACCTGGTCCCCGTTCCCTCGTTCTTCACCCTGAGTCTCGGTACCAAGGGGAAGATCTAATCCATGTTGATATTCATTATCCATGGGCTGAAAAACACCTATTAATTAATTTTTTTGATATAAAATAAGGGTCCACCAAACTATATAGAGAACCAAGGAGGCATTCTGGCGGACGCATGCGTGTAGGAAGGTCGACAACTACATATCAGTTCCCACAAAACACAGTAGTAACTAAATAACACAAAGATATTTACGTAGAAAACTCCCAACTCACGGGATTAAAAATACAGCAGTAACTAAATATTATGATCTTTTTACATAATTTAAATAAGGAAAGATTTAATAAGTAAAATTTTAGTTAATTTTACAATTCTAAAAATTAGGAAAATAAATAAATGATAATTTTGTCCAATGTGAAATCTAATTTTTAAGGGTGAAAAAGGTAAACAATATTTCGCTAAGACTCTTCGTACTTTTAATATAATATAGATTATTATTATGATGGAAATCATTAAATTTGCGATGCTATTTATTCACTAGATGACGACTGCACTATTTTTTGTGGCAAATTATTTTTCTGAAAAAAAAGTTTTATAGTAGTCGGAGGTTGGAGAGTAACAAAAATATATTATCCTAACTTCTTGATAATTTCATCCACTAATTTGGTCAGAGAAAATCAAGTTAACTCGGCTAAAAATTTAATCTCATGTGGGTAAAATGTTTGTGCCAGTTCTAATGAACATGGAAAATACTATGTATTGTCTTCTTATTTTGCAACAAGTAGAGATGTCAATACGGGCTAGCCCAGCCCACGCGGGCTTTGACATTTGACGGTTTGGGCCGGGCTGGACTGACCCACTATTTTGATGAACCTTAAAATGGTCAGCGCAGCCCGATCCAACATTGGGTCACGGGTCCCCGCGGGCCGACCCGCGATTTTTAAAAAATATGTTTCATATTTCTTATAATTTAAGTTTTAACCTAAAAGTTTCTGAAAAACATAATAACTTTTGACATTGTTCTAATAGATTACTATAAAATACAAAAACAGAGGATAATATTTCATTCATTAAGAATCAATGCTCAAAACAAATTACTCAAAAAATTTCAAGGTGCTCATGGCATATCCAACACCAATAAATAATCTTCATCAAGTACATTTGAATACTCATGTGAAACAAAGATGTCTTAACATCTTTATTTTCATCTAAATCTATAATTATATGCAATGTTAATTAAGCACATTTGAATCCTCTTGTGAAACAAAGATGTCTTAACATCTTTATTTTAATCTAAATCTATAATTATATGCGATGTTGATTAGTTAAACATTAAAAAATAACTAAAATTTTAAGAACAAAAAATATTTAAATTCACATAAAAAAATATTACTAGTTTGAGATTGGACTACTCTTCTTATTATTTTTAATTCCTATATTATTTTTTTTAATTTTAATTAAATATATTTATTAAGCCCACGGGCTAGCCCAACCCAGCCTTAATCAAGCCGCATGGACCACGAACTTATTTGGGCCGGGCTTAAAAGGTTCATTTTTAAATAGACTCCAAATTTTTTAGCCCAAGCCTATTAAATCACTGGCTGAATTGGGTCAGCCCAGCGGGCCAAACCCATATTGACGCAACAAGACACATGAGTGACATCACGGTACTAAAGATAATTGTTTCGTATTTAATCAAAAGAACAATGAAATAAAAAGTTATGAAAGGAATATTTTTGTTCCTTAGCTAACATATTTTCATTAGTTTTTTTTTTTGTTATTTAATTAAGATCAAATTAGGAAAAATGTGGACTTTAAACTTACCATTTTGATTTTTATTTTAAAACAAGTAAGTGAGATCCACGAGTTCAATTATCAAGCAATGAAACCTCTCACACACGCAAGTAATATTGGTTATGTGATCATGCATTTTACTTTCTTAGTGGATCAATGGTCAACCTGGCACAAAATTAGATTAATTTGACTAACGAATTTAAAATACGGAATGCCTAAAAACTGAAGCAACACATAAAAAAGTGAGCAACTGAACTGTACATCCCTCAATTCAACAAACTGGAGAAACGCCTTACTAATGTCAAAGGCTCCTACACGCAGAGGGCATTTCCACTTTCCTTCGCCCAGTAAAGTTTTTGTCATCAGCCCACATTTTGCCACCAGATTCCATTTCCCTTTATTTTCCTTAATTCTCTATTAATTCAAACATTAAACTTAACGCGTAAGGCATAGCCAAAGCCACCCTCATTATTAACATATACTAATACCAAATATTAAGTTGATACAATAAAAAGTACTTGACAATAAGGTGTTCACATTTTCCTTGTGCCACACTACTCATTAGCACACACCGTCGTCCTATCTGGGCAGTGTCAACATTATCCCCCAAAAAAAAAAAACATTATCCCATCTCATTACCTACTCATTAGAACTTTCCTTTTTGTTCATTAGTCACAATTAGTACCACTAGAAAGTAATATAATATCATCAATTAGTCCAAATTAAACATCCCTTAGTTTAATTAATAATCCTTGTCAAACCACTAATCTGGTCATAACTTTTTGCCAACTGTTGAGTTGGACAGGAAGATCAAGGTATTTAAAGGGAAAGGCATCTCCTCAATTTTCCCTTTCTTTGCAAACAAGACACTGTTTTACTTTCTTTGCTCTTAGGCAAAAACCATAATCTTCCCCTAATATTCAAACACTGAAATGCGTCCATATCAATTTCCTATTCCATTCATTTCCCTTTTCCTATTCTTATTTTTTCTACCTTCATTTCCCATTCTTGGATCCACCTCTGAACTGACAAATTTTGTTTACAAAGGCTGTGCAAACCAAAAATTCCAAGACTCAACTGGGGTTTACACCCAAACACTCAACACCCTTTTTGACAACTTAGTTTCTCAATCCTCCTCCACTAAGTTCCACAAAACCACCGCCGGCGGTGGCCAGTCAGCAATTTCCGGTCTCTTCCAATGCAGAGGCGATCTCTCTAACAACAACTGCAACACTTGCATTAAAAAAATCCCAGAGATGTCCCAAAAATTGTGCGGGCAATCAATAGCTGCAAGAATCCAGCTCAATGGTTGTTACTTGAGGTACGAAGTTGCTGAGTTTCAGACAGTGGGTCCCACCGAGTTGCTGTACAAGGTGTGCGCGTCAACTCGAGTGAGTGGAGATGGTTTTCTGGACAGGCTGGAAACAGCACTAGGAGAGATAGCTAAAGGAGTTTCTTCAAGTGGTAATAAGGGGTTTTATACAGGTGGTTATCAGTCGGTTTATGTGTTAGGTCAATGTGAAGGTGATTTGGGAAGTGGGGACTGTGTGAACTGTGTGAAAAATGCTGCTGAGAAAGCCAAAAGCCAATGTGGTTCTTCCATTTCTGCTCAAATTTATCTGCAACAGTGCTACATTAGTTACACTTATTATCCCAGTGGTGTTCCCACTAAATCGTTTTCTCCATCAGGTGGTAAGTAAATGGCAGTAATAGCAGTATTTATCTTTTCTTAATTATTTAAAGGGGTCTCTTAGTCATTATTTAATTAATCTAATGTTTGTACTGGATTTATTGAGGTGCAGGAATAAGGAAGAGTACACAGAAGACGGTGGCTATTGTCTTGGGTGGACTGGTTGGTGTGGGGTTAGTACTTGCTTGTTTGCTATTTACAAAATCAGCATTCAAGAAGAAGAGTTATGTCAAGTATGGAGGATGAGGTTAGTATTCCACTAGAAACAAAAAATAAAGAAGTTGGTTTACTTCTTGATAAGTAGTAGTTAAATAATTTTTAAAAAAATATCCTTGTTGGTATATATTTCTGCATGTGCTAGCTTGCTTACATTGTCGGGGTTTTAAGTTCAAATAGAGGAGGACTATGATAGATTGACGGTAAAATGTAAATCTAATCAATTTATGATTCTTGTTGGATATATAACAAAGAATGCATTTATTCTGATAACACTATATTATTCAATGCAGGTAGGTCCAATGGCTGAGAAATTTGGTAGAGCATTGAGGGTTTGGGCCATAGAGAATGTAATTACATAGTGTAAATTTAGGTTTGATGATTTGGATTGTGTAAAGAGAAAGGAGGTATGGATATGGTGATGAAGGAGAGGGAGATCTGCTTTTGCAACTTTGTTTTGGCTCCAACTTCCAGGATTTGCCTTCTCCTCAAAGTTTTCTCCTTTGAATTACAAGTAGCAGTTGTACTGTAGTAGTGGTATCAACTAGGCAAGCATTGGTTGAAGTATGACTATTTTCCTTTTCTTTTTCTAAACATCATATGAATGTACATCCACATATGTATTACAATATAATGAGAAACTATGGATCAATATTGTGCAGTTTCATTTGCACCAAAGTTTATATAGAACTTAAAAAGCAGAGGAATGTTGTCTCTTCTGAGAGCAAAGTTTAAGAGGTCCCAATGTGGTACACTTCAGTGAAAATCCGAATTTAATCGGACCCCAATACGAAATCATATTTCGGTGCAATTCCGAATTTAATCAGATCCCAATACGGTTCGTATTATCTGTTGGGAAATCAAATAAATACATTCTAAGAGATGGAGCTCAGAAGGGGATCACTCCACGCTCCAGCTGTTTTCTTATACATTTTAGTGAGTGATGGTATATAGTGGGCACCGCAGAGTCAATATCAAGCAAACATTATACTCCTATGTAGCCAATTGTCACGGGCCCGTTTCCTTACGCTTGCCAGCGGCACCGATTCGTTCGTGCAGCGCCTACAGTTCCCCTCGCTGCAGGCCAGCCTATTTCCTCTCCCAGGTTTTCAAGCACGATCCTGTGTCTGTTGGTGGGACTCGCCCATAGGGCTCGCCCCAACTTGTGCCGCCCGTAAGATGTCTAGGCACTTGGCCCTAGACATGTCGTGGCGCTTCATCTTAGGATCATAATCCATGCACGCCCTGGGGGGATTGGCTTAGGACATGTCTTGTTCCTCGCCCAAGACTGAGCATCGCTCCCGCGTGCACAGCCCAATCCTCAAGCTTGACACTCGCCTAGTGCATCCGCAACTAGCTCGTGCCTCGCCCGAGTAAGGCAACCTTTAGTCCTTGGCTATTGTCATGCGCGTCTCTCGTGCCATGCTCATACATAGCCCTCGCGATACGCTTCCATCCCGAATAGTGCAGTGTCGCCCCATAACTGCATGTTTAAGCCAACAGACCCTTGCTTGCATGGTTGAACCCAAGCCATGCTCACAAGTCGACACATGATTCCCCTAAGATAGGTGCGTCAAGTATCCAATCGACACAGAGGTCTCCTTCCAACATCTGTCCCACACATCGAGCCTCCAGCGCCTACTTGATGCTCAACGCTAGCCCGAAGGCGTCGCGCCGTCCATTGAGTTCCCAAACTCGTATGGATACCTAGGACACTCCTTTGAGTCATCCAGGCAGGCCCTTGAGGTTGCCCCCAAAGTAGCTCGTTCAATACGGCTTAGTGACAGCACGTATTAGGGAGGCAGGTTAGAGCTTTCATCACCTATACCCCCTTATATATGCTTAAAATTAGAAAGCTCAAGTTGCCCGAGTAGACAGATCTACGTCAGACAATCAGAAGAGCCTTTTCTCACCGGTTCTTTCCGAAGTCACAACCCCAAAGTGCGGGTTGTGACACAATTCTTCATCACCATTATCATAATTCTTAGCTTGTTTTGAATTGGAATATTATATATTGTCTTTAAATGCCGCAAAAGTTAAATCGATAAAGGCAAAGATAGTCTACATTAAGAGATTGCAAGAATTACAGTTCGCATCATAAATAGGCCAGGCTAAAAGTTTTACGGTGGATATTCGTATATTCTAATTCTACTTCAAGATTTAAGAGAAAATAGCGACCTTTGATTTTCAAATAAGTTATAAGTGTAATTACGGGGTATGTGAACTCATAGTTTTTCCGTAAAATTAAATATTTTATGTATATATTTTCTAAAATTAATATAATATTAACTGTTGGCACTTAGTTATTTACCAATAGGCATAGAGATCAATTCCAACTAAATACATTTTTTTCTTCCTTTTTTTAGTAGTGCACCCATGCAGTGGTGGAGACACCTTATAGGAAGGGGTGTCAAATGATAACCCTTCGCGGAAAAAATATATTGTGTAGCTAGATAAAAAAATAAATTATATGTAAATATATTATGTATTGACTCCCCTTAATTTCCTAGTATGTTTATTTTTATATATTTTGACACTCGTTAACGAAAATTTTGGTTTCGCCACTGCACTCATGGACTAGAAATTTTAGATCCGCTTCTGAATAAGTTGACAATTTTTTTGGAAGAAAATATAAAGAAATTCAACAAAAAATTGAAGAGGATTATCTGGAAAAAAATTCAGCACTTTGTGAAACAAAAGATACATGAAGGCGTTTGGACAATGTTTGAGTTGAAACTAAAAAAGAAATGAAATTTGAAACTAAAAAAATATAAAAGAGTGGTGTCTGAACATAAACTTTTAATTTTTTTTCACGAAAGTTAAAGATCAGTGAAAAAAAGTTAACATTTACTTGAAATACTCATTCAAAATATTACTTAATGTTAAATGGCAATCTTCAAACTAACATGTGATAATTCTCGCCAAATAATATTAATGCATTAAAATTACTGATTCAGCATTCTGATCCGTGACATGTTTACACGGTAAATACTGTTATTAAATTGTATTTGTAAAATAATTCTGGAGAAGACAAAATAACATATAAACAGAAATGTAAAAGAAACATAATTTAATTCGAACCCACTGAATTCACAGTGTTTCCTTAATGAATTTAATCACCTCCTAGTACCCAAGGTTGTGGATTATTTCCTCCCAGGATAGAACGAATTACACATTGGTGTAGCGATACTTCAAACCTCAGTGTTTCAACGAACACAAAGATCGGTAGCAAATCACACTTACTGTTGCTTTATTTGTAGTTAAAACAATGCAGAAGAAAGGAGGAGAAGTCAGAAATAATGTTGCTTTGTTTGTAGTTAAAACAATGCAGAAGAAAGGAGGAGAAGTCAGAAATAATGTTGCTTTGTTTGTAGTTAAAACAATGCAGAAGAAAGGAGGAGAAGTCAGAAATTCGTATGGAAAATCTGAGAGAATGAACTGGTATTTACAGCCAATGTTGAGCTCAAACTGAAGAGGTGCAACTCTTCAAAATTTAAGAGGTACAACTCTTCAAATCCGAAGAGGTGCAAACTGTTTCTTTAAATCCAAAGAGGTGCAAACTATTTCGGTCATATTGTAAATGTCTTTTACAAAAAGCGAAGGGCATATACTATTCCGTTGGATTTAATATTAATATTCTGTTTACAAAAAAATCGAATATTTAATAATATTTCTGTTAATATTTACTATTAACAAATAAATTTGGTCCAAAAAATTAATCAATCAATTGACCAAAGCCGAAGCCGAGCGAGCGACGATAACGGCGCGAGGCTTTCCTTCTTTTTAACTCTTTAAGAGTTAGAAGGAGTGCAATTGTATATATACCCATCAAAACTTTTTCCTCTCCATTGTCCAGGAGGAAAATTCAAATATTTTCAATTTCCCTCCATTTCCCATTCACCCTCTTTGAAGCTACATTTAAGCTTAAAAAACCAACAAATATTAGTGTATTTTCACATAGTGTATATGTCAAATCGAATATTTAGTTTTTATAATTAATTATTAAAGTGAAAATACATTGGATTAAGTGATACATATGTTTATGAAAGATAATAAGTTGCACTTATTTGATTAGTGAAAACATAAAAGTTTTATTATGGTAACGCTCCATAAATCTATCCAATCCTCCTCCATCGAACTGCCAAATTCTTACAATCTTCTTTAAACTTCTCAAAATTTTAAAATAATATAGTTTCAAAAAACACTTACAATTTTAATTTTGAAATGAAACAATAAAAGAAGAAGAACAATATNGGGAAGGAGGGGGAGAAATGACTTAGCCACAAAGTAACAAACTCTATAAAAGATAGACATTCACTCTAAGTACAATTCTACCTATAACACTCCCCCTTGAATGTCTACTCAGTAGGTAATGTGACTCGTTAAAACATTAACTAAAATAAAATTCAGTGGAAAAAAATTCTAGTAAAGGAAAAAGAGTATACATGTTTAATAATACACCTTTTGGTAGCCTCGTTAAAAACCTTGTAAGGAAAACCTAGTGGGACAAAACCTTGTAAGGAAAAAAGAGTGCAACGCATATTAACTCCCCATGATGAGAGCATCAATTCACATCTTTGAGCCTTTGCATCCTAATCTTGTACACTAATTTCTTGAAGGTTGACGTTGGTAGAAATTTTGTGAACAAATCAGTCATATTATCACTTGAACGAATTTATTGCACATTAATATCACCATTCTTTTGAAGCTCATGTGTGAAAAATAATTTCGGTAAAATGTGCTTGCCGTATCTCATTTTATGAATCCTCCCTTCAATTGGGCTATGCATGCTGCATTGTCTTCATATAAAATCGTGGGTAGTTTGTCACATTTCAAATCACATTTATCTCGAATAAGATGTATTATAGACCTCAACCACACACATTCTCGACTTGTTTCGTGAATATCAATTATCTCAGCATGATTAGATGAAGTAGCCACGATTGATTGCTTAGTCGATCGCCAAGATGTGGCAGTGCCTCCACATGTAAACGCATAGCCGGTTTGAGATCGAGCCTTGTGTGGGTCGGATAAATACCCAACATCGGCATAACCAACAAGATCGGAATTGCAATTATTGCCATAAAATAAGCTCATATCGGCAGTCTCTTTTAGATACCACAATATATGTTTGATTCAATTCCAACGTCTCATTGTAGAAGAAGAGCTATATCTTTCTAAGACATTAACTGGAAAAGTTATGTCAGGCCTTGTTGTATTAGCGAGATACATTAGTGCACCAATTGCACTAAGATATGGTACTTCAGAACCAAGTAGCTCTTCATTCTTTTCTTGAGGTCGGAACAGATCCTTATTCACATCAAGTGATCGAACAAACATCGGAGTACTTAATGGATATGCTTCATCCATGTAAAACCGGTTTAATACCTTTACTGTGTAGGCATATTGATGAACAAAATTTCGTTTGCCAAATGTTCAATTTGCAACCCGAGACATAATTTTGTCTTTCCGAGATCTTTCATCTCGAATTCCTTCTTTAAATAATCAATTGCTTTTTGGATTTCTATAGGAGTTCCAATAAGATTTATGTCATCAACATATACGATAAGTACAACAAATTTCGATGTTGTTTTCTTTATAAAAATACATGGACAAATGGCATCATTTATATAACCTTCCTTTAATAAATACTCATTAAGA